CCCCCCCCGCAGGTCTGGTTCAAGAACCGCCGAGCCAAGTGGAGAAAGCGGGAGCGGAACCAGCAGATGGACCTGTGCAAGAACGGCTACGTGCCGCAGTTCAGCGGGCTGATGCAGCCCTACGACGACATGTACGCCGGCTACCCCTACAACAACTGGGCTACCAAAAGCCTCACCCCGGCTCCGCTTTCCACCAAGAGTTTCACCTTTTTCAACTCCATGAGCCCCCTCTCCTCGCAGTCCATGTTCTCGGCGCCCAGCAGCATCTCCTCCATGAACATGCCCTCCAGTATGGGGCACTCGGCCGTGCCGGGCATGGCCAACTCCGGCCTCAATAATATCAATAATATCAGCGGTTCCTCGCTGAACTCGGCCATGTCCTCGCCGGCCTGTCCCTACGGGCCACCGGGTTCGCCTTACAGCGTCTACCGGGACACTTGCAACTCCAGCTTAGCCAGCCTCAGACTGAAATCAAAGCAGCACTCCAGTTTCGGCTACAGCAGTTTGCAAAGCCCCGGCTCTAGTCTAAACGCCTGTCAGTACAACAGTTGACGGACTTGACACAAACCACCTCCGACAAAACACCGCCGACAAAGCAAAGCAGAAGCAAAGCGACGTTTAACGGAAAAGAGGAGGGGAAAAAAAAAAAAAGAATTAAAACCCGATGATGATTAAAAGCAAAACCCGAGCAAGTGAGAGAGGAAAAAAAAACCAACCAAAAACCCAAACCAAAACATCACCCAAAAAAACCCACAAGCTCCGCGGACTTCGACTGTCTAGAAAAAAAAAAACATATTAATGCAAACCAACGACGCAACCAACAGAACAGCGCTTTAAAAAAAAAAAAAAATTAAAAATAAACCATCAAAAACCGTAAACGGACCAGAAAACTTTTGCAAGAGACACCGAAATCTGGTACATGGATGAGTTGCAATTTTTCTCTGGATTATGCGGGTTGTATGTGTTTACTTGAACTTGCACAGGAGTTGGTAAGGCGGCCGCTTCCCCGCGGGGAGGGCGGCGAGGGTGGGAGACGCCTCGGTGGTAAGAGCTGGTGGGACGGTTCTTGGCCGCTTGTCGCACGGGAAGAGTTTGGTTAATGTTTACCACTGAGAAACAGAATCACACTCAAAAAAAAAAAACCAAACAAAAAACCAACAAAAAAAAAAAGGGGGGGGGGAGAAAAAAAATATAATTCGCAGAGTAGATTCTGCGGGAAAAATTGTTAAAATATTAGGTATGAAACTATTAAAAATAATAATGACAAGGGTCAACCACTTATATAAGGTTATATTTATATCTACCGTTGCATTGTGCCGGATCATTGTCCTTGGCCGTTGAATAAACTGTTTTTAAAATGCATGATTCTTGATGTTTTTTCTTTAGTTGGAAGCTATAATCCAGTCATTCCTGATACTAAGCAGCTCAAGGTTCCTACCTCTTCATCCTTTCCAAAAGACTGCAGTATCCCCGCTTGTGAGAGAGCACAGAAACCCTCCAGCGATGCGAAAACTGTTCAGCATTTTCCCCATCCCAAGTCTTATCCTGATAATGAAATTATCATTCATCTTTATTTAAATGCAGGGGTTTTTTTCTCTTTAAAAAAAAAAAACGACGAAAAACAAACCCCTTTTAGAGAGTCTAGACAAAAAGACGAAAAAATGGTCTGTTATGAGGTGAATTCAGATACTGCATCTCTGCTAGAGAAACAGTGAGCCTCGGCGTCCGGAAAGGTTGCTTAGCAAAGCTGAAAGCGTTCCTTGCTTTTCTAACTGTGAAGGAAAAACAAGGAACCAAAAAAAAAAACAAACTCGATCTTAAGGTGTTATTATCTTAAGGTGTTATTATGTAAATGTAGATACTTTAACAAGTGCTTGTTGGCAAAAAAAAAAAAAAACCAAAAAAAACAAAAAACCAACCATGGAAATTATAAATATGATCTTTATTAATACGCATACAAAACGCATATGAAGTTTAATTGCAGGCATATTTGTTGCTTATTTTTGTCGATACTTATTACCTGTAGATGACAAAGAAACATAATATAAAATGCACACGGTACTTCTTTCCCAGTGTATTTCACACCTGTGGTAAACGTTACGCTGGATGTTTCAATTATGCTGTTGTGGATAAGGATGCAGTATATATATTGTTTTATAAGTTATGTTTTGTGATTTTTTTTTTTCAAAATTAAGAGCATGGGAATAAAAAAAAACCAAAAAAAAAAAAAACCAAAACCGAAACGAAATCTAGAAATGCCTTTAATGTTCTTTTCCGGCTGTGTTTAAGAGATCGACTAAACAAGAAGAAAAGCAGCTTTCTCCCCGTGGTGGCATTTTGGGGAGGGCCCCTTGGTTTCCCTCCCGGTAATTGCGCCGTCTCTCCGCGTCCCCCCCCCGCGCCCTCCCCACCCCGGCAGGGACCCACCGGGAGCCGCCGGCCAAGGTGTGTGGGGGGGGAAGGCACCCCTTTTTCTGGGATATGGGGGGGCTCGATCCCTGCCATCCCGAGGGGCAGCCCCGGCAGTGGAAATCCTCCCCACCTCTAATTTTATGGCAGATTTTTACCGCTGCGGTGCCGGCGGCGCGGCGGGGTTTGGGGAGGCAGCCTGCATTTCTGCTTCCAGCCCTGCCTTTGGGGGGGTTTCCTTCCCCAAAAAAGTTAATCCTCGCGCCCTGAAGGTACACATCCCCCCCGGCCCGGCGTGCCGCAGCCCCGGGACCGCTCCTTCCCGCTGAACCGTTTGGCCCGTTTTGCAAAGGTGCGTTTTTCTCTTGCTCTTCCAAATTGGCCGAGATCCTCAATTTTAAAGGTTGTTCGATTTGCTTTTTTTTTTTTTCCCCCAGCTTTTCCAAGCACGAAAGACACTGATGTCACCACTAGTTCATTACTATTACGATTACTGTTAATATTTGGTGGGGAAAAACAAAAAATCAAAATAGCCGTAATTTAGCCCAAAAACCAATTCATCATCTGCGGCGAGGCCGGATCCGGCGCAGCCGCCTTCCTCCGCGCCGGGGCTGCCTCCCCACCGCCCAAACGCGCTGTTTGCGCGGCCGCGGATGTGTCCCGTCCCTCCCCACACCCCCCCATACCCCCCCCGGGGGGGGTTGTTTGCAGTTCTCTGCGCGGAGCTTCTTGAAGCCCCCCCGGGGGGGGTGTTCCGCGGCCGCGCAAGGCAGCGCTGCTCCGCGGAGCCCCGGGAGCCATTCCCTGCCGGGGGGG